TATGTATGTATACATGTATGTACATGTACACCCATATCTATGTATCTGCATGCATGTATCCATTTATACATTTGTTTATATGTGCACACATGTTAAGCTTGTCTTTGTCGCTTTCGTATGGATCCTACTCTAACATCATAAGACCGTTCATCTATGTCTAGGGACTTCCTTGAGGCCACGCGTTTCTTGAAACCCCCATGTTCAACGCAACATTCTTCAGCGCAAATCCTCAAGATGCCGGTGGAAGGCAAAGACAACAAAAGCCGTGAAGGTCTTGATCAACAAACTCTTCCCACAAACTTTGATGACTCAGGATAAAACCATAGTATATAAACCTTCATTAAACCATAGTATATAAACCCTAAGCCCACAACCCTCAACCAGAATTTTGCCCCGAGACACTGGCGTCCAACATCTCGTCGACTTGCTGCCGGCCCGGGCCTTCCGTGCCCTTCTCGGTCTCGACCTGCGATGCCCCGCCGAACCTGACAGGAACGGACCTAGCTCAGAGGACCTCTCGCCTCTTGGGGGCCTCTGATTCTTGAATCCAGGTTCCTACAACTAAGAGTCGCTAGACAAAGGCACCTGCTAAATACTTCTCTGCAGTTCCAGTTAGCCTGCTTTGCGACAAGTTAAGGCACACATGCGCTTGTCTGAAGTCAGGGTTGCTTGTGAGCTCACTCGTTTCTCATATCCTTTCTCTGTATGAGGAGCTTGTCAGTCTTTCTCACTGTTTTTTGTCTTCCCTCAAGGAGCCTCTTTCTTTCTCTCGCCTTCTCTCCCTTTTTCTCCCTCTGTCTCCCTCCCTCTCTAGTTTTGCAAGACTGCTGAGGTCAGTATACAAGGGGCCTGAATCCTTGGAATAGGGTTTTGCTCTGCATTTTGGACTTAAGCGGACCAGGATGTCTGGCAAATGGCGGAAGAAAAGCCGAAAACGCCGAAGCCACTGAGACCGCAGCTGTACTCCACGCTTTCGGTCTCCAGGCTTCGGTGCTTTGGTCTTCGTCTTACCTGGGGCTTCCGAGTCCACAAGAATTACGCTTGCCACTCGGGGAGTAGTAGTAGTAGTAGTAGTAGTAGCACAAAGTTCTTGCACCATGGTCTACAAGGTCGGGCAAAGTGACGCATCAGTTTAGTCATTATGGTTTGACCAAAACGGCAGGTCATTCCCACTCCTCACAAAAAATACAGAAACTACCAAAATTCCCAAAACGGCTGGTCCCTAAACCCCCCTTAAACAAGCAAATCAATCAAAACGAACTAAAACCGAACCCCCCCCTGAAACAAACAAAACAACCAATACGACCAAAACTCCAAACTGGCCACGAATAATGGCGGTCCTGTAGTGTCCCTGCAATAATGTAGTAGTAGTAGTAGTAGT